ATCCAGGGGTAAAGCCTGCAAACACACTATTAATGATTTTTTTTTATGCGATTGAGCTTTAAATTCAGGGCTTTGCATTTGTAAAGCAGGCACTCTACTACTTGAGCCACACCTCCAGTCCTTTTTTGCTCTGGTTATTTTTGGAGATGGGTCTCTCAAACTATTTGCCCAGACTGGTCTTGAACCTCGATCCTCCTGATTTCAGCCTCCCAAGTAGCAAGGATTACAGACATGAGCCACATTTAACACCCAGCTCACAATTAAGTTGTTTTTTTTTTTTTTTTTTTTTGGCGGTACTAAGGATGGAACCCAGGGCCTCCTGCATGCTAGGCAAACAAGCATTGAGCTCTATCGCCAATCCAAACTTTTTAATAATTGCTATAACTACATAAACTTGGTATGATCATAGCACAAAAAACCCCACAAAATTGCTTATATTAAAGATGCCAATTATGTGAGGGAGTAAGTACACAGAAACCACTGAAGGAAAAGCTTGTGTAAAATCAAAGTTACAATAAACAGTACCCAAAATATTCGGAAGCTTCATTGCAATAACCTTTTATCTTCCCCTTACTTTATGAAATAAACTATTCTCTTTTTTTGGCAGTACTGGTATTTGAACTCAGGGCCTCACACTTGCTAGACAGGTGCTCTACCACTCCACCAGCCCTTTATGTAATAAACTAAACAAAGAATTCTATGTAACACTATAAAAACTACATAATCATGTTCTAATGACCAGTGAGTTAACGTTCTAAAAAGTTAATGACCAACTTGCAACTGAGAGTCTAATGTAGTATCCATTACCTACCAGAACATGTCCCTTAAGGATGGGGGCAGGAGGGATGGCTCAGTGGGAGAGCACATGCATAGCATGTGCAAGGCTCTGGATTCCATTTCCAGCACTGCTAAATAAAAAATAAATAATTACGTATGCATGTGTTAAGTATCAGAATAAAATCCCATGGGGGATGAAATGAATGAAAAAAAAAAGCAGCAAACAGCCATATATGCTCAGAATAACACAGATAAAGATCCTAAATATTCTGGAAAGAAGGAAAATATTACTTACAAAGATACCTAATCACCCAAATAAACTGGCTGCTAAAATACAAAAGTAAATGCCTTCAAATTTTGAGGAAAATTATTTTGAGCCTAGAATTCTATGTTAAGCCAAACTCTTAAACAAGTATTATCAGGATAATAAAGATATTCTTAGAGTATAAAGTTTCCTTCCTACTTAGCCTTGACAAGGGGAGAAGTTTCAATAAAGCAGAAAACAGTGGATCCAAGAAATTGCAGACCTATCCTGGGCCACCCCACAAATACAGAGAGGTCCACAAGCCCTGGGAAAGATCTTCTGAGACTTCTAGCTTATATGCTACTTCTAGCTTCATATATTACAAATAATCAATAAGGTAGAAGAGGGGCCTGGGCATGGCTCAATGGCAGAGCACTTGTCTAACATCTGCAAGGCCCTGTGTTACATCCCCAGCACCAAATAAAGACAGTAATAATAGGCAAGGCCAGAACCAAGCACACACTATGTAGTAAGACCCCCTCCCACTTTAAGGTCTGAGTCACCGGAGCTACCACAGCCACCATGGGGGCCGTTCTGGTGTGGCAGTAGCTTCGGAGACCTCAGTGCCTATGGGGCTGGAGGTGCTGCTGGTAGCACTTGCCCTCCTGTGTGGCCTGGTGGCTATCTGTGTGCTTCCCTGGCCCAGAGCTAACCATGAAGCCTCAGCTTCCCACCAGAAAGCCCTGAACCTAGTAAGCTGTTGCATGGGAGATGTCCCCTTGTCCACTTGTCTCCTGACCCCCTGCTACTGATGAGGCCTTGGTGGCCCTGCACATGACATTCCAGTTTCCCCTTCAAGAATGGCCATAGGCTTCCTCCTCGTCCTGCCTTACAAGGAGCAGTCCAGACTACCTCATCAGGAGGAAACAGGGCCTCCATTGGAACAGCAAATGGTGGGATTTAGCACTGACATGTCAAGCAGGGGCCCACAGGCAAGTGGAGCCTGGGTACTGCTCTGCTCCCTGGCCCTACACTCAGTGTTGGAGGGGTTGGCAGCTGCAGCTGCAGCAATACCAAGCCAGGTCATGGAGCTGTCTAGCTTTGCAACTCCATAAAGGTATCTTGGCAGTCTGTGCCTGTGGCTGCCAGAGTCACCTACAGGGGCAAAAGATGGGTGACTGTAAGATCTTCTCACACCTGACACCTCCAGACACTGGGCTGGGTGCAGCTCTGGCAGTAGGTTGGGCCTCTGCACCATCTAGAGGACAAGGTGACTGACATCTTCTTGTTACCATCCTGGAAGCCCTACCCCAGGAGCTGGCCACTTCTGAGCAAAGGTTCCTCATGGATATTCTGCTCCTGGCAGTTTTGCTCTACTCACTGACCTGCTCTTTGTCCAAACCCAGAGTGCTTCAAGACAAGGGCAGGAGAGGCTAACTATCAAGTGCCCCTGCCCTCCCTCCTGGCCAGCATATGGGAAATAGGAAGGAATGGGAAAGGAGGTACTGAGGACAAAACAGTTCTCTGGTAGGTAGAGATGCAGCATCTAGGACCGTGACCCATGAGAGGGAAGTGGGCAGATGTGGGAGATGGCCAAGTCACCAGAGACACGATCAGGGACATTAGACTTGGAGCAGACCCTGTCTGCTAGGATCTGAGTTCAGATGCTACACCTAGGGACAAGAGGACACTGGGGAGGCTGAAGGCAGGCAGCCAGCTATGGGACGGTGATATGGGGAAGGCAAAGGCATAAAGTCCGTCTCCTGTTGGTTCTGGCCCATTCCAGGACTCCAGCAGTTGAAGTGGAGTCCTACTTTTCTCATCTACTTTTATGTCTATCTCCTTCTTCCCTTCTCCCACGAGACCAGTGCCCAACAGTATCTCTCTGCTAGATTTCTCTGGCCTCTCCAGTCCTGCTCATTCCTCTATTTCTTTTTTTTTTTTTTTTTGAGACAGAGTCTCAATGTGTTTTCCAGGATGGTCTTGAACTAATTAGGTAGCACAGAATGGCCTCTAGCTCACAATCCTCTTGCCTCGGCCTCCCAAATACTGAGATTACAAGCATACGCCACCATATCCAGCTTCATTCCTCTATTATTAAACTGCCAAATACCTCACACACACTTTCTGAAAGCACAGAAAGTGTGTGCTTTCTTAAGCCCTGTATAGCTCCTCAACGAAGGAGACCTGTTTGCTCTTATTTTGGTCACAGACTCTGGGGTGGGGTAGAAATGTTTCTGGGATAGGCTGGAGTGGGGGGAGGGGTGTATCTACCACTGCTGCACCCTCAGATACAGAAGGTAGACATGGTACCCACGTCCAGACAGTAAACTGAGCTGCCAAAACATTTTTTTATACCTGAGGAGCCCAAGGAGGAAAGGAAATGCCCACCCCCAGGGTTATTTTAAGGGAGTGGGGGCTATGCATAGGGCCTTATTCTCTAGAATCTATTTTCCTAACTGGTCTGTTGTTCAGGCATCTTACTCAAATAAAAGATGTTTCTATAAAAGTGATAATAGAAACTAGTGGAAGCAGTGAAAGAGAGAGAGACAGAGAGAGAGAGAGGGAGGGAGGGAGAGGAGAAGGAAGGGAAGAAAAAGGAAGGGAAGGAGGAGGAGGAGCTAATGGAAAACCAACAGGCCACTTAAGAAAGACATAACCCAAATATGAAGTACACTACACTGTGGCACATAAACTGAATGTAAGAAAAGACTGTCCATTTGACCCTGTAGCAGGATCATTTCTCCTTGAGAGGCAGTTCAGGGATCCAGAACTGCATTCTCTCTACTGGTCCAGTCACTGTCTGGGGCTACAGTGAACTCTACTGACATAATCATGATGCTTCAACCTGTAAACCAGTCACAGAAACCTAGCTACAAAACAACTCATGGAGACATGAAAAGATGGTCAGGATAGTGTTAGGCTTAAGGAGAAATGGAGGGTAATTTAGAGCAGTAACTTCCTAATCTTACTTAGAGGAAAGCTAAAGGATGGTTGGGTTGATATGACATGAATTAATCAATATTAAAAGCAAGCAACAGAGCCAGGTGGTTCACGTCTATAATCCTAGCTACTCAGGAGGCAGAGAACAGGAGGATCACGGTTCGAATCCAACCCTGTCAAACAATTCGTGAGACCCTATCTCGAAAAAACTCATTAGAAAAAAAAAAGGGTTGGTGGAGTGGCTCAGGTGAAGGCCATGAGTTCAAACCCCAGTACCAAAAAAGAAAGGGAGGGAGGCATGGAGAAAAAAAAGGGAAGGAACAGAAAAGTAAGAGGGAAAGTAGATGAAAATGTATGCAAACTAAGCTCCTCAATAGAAAACAAGAACAATACTAGCATGCCCAGAGTGGTGGCTGTTTAGTGCCACTTCGGAGGCAGAGATCAGGAGAATTTTGGTTCTATCCAGGACAAAAACTCTGTGAGAACCCTTATCAACAAGCAAGCTGGAGGTGGTGAAGTACACCTGTAATCCTAGCTAGGCAGAAGGCCAAGGTATGCGCATACTGGTTCAGGCCAGTTCGGAAAAAAGTGCAAGACGCCATCGGAAAAATAACAAGTACGGCGCCTAGTTCAAACTCAGTACCGCCGAAACAATGATAATTAATAGTAATAATAGCTAATGTTTATTGAATGTTAACAAAACGACACTGTTCTAAGTTCTTTTACAGACACATCCAGTTAATGCTATGACGCTGCTATTACCGTGTAAGCACATTTTACGAACCGTCCAACGTTGACTGGGATTTTTAATTTCTACAAAGATGGGTCTCCCGGTGCCCTATGCTTTCCTCAAGGACACACTCCGCCTGCCTCAGTTTCCCCACACCCCCGTCTCCGGCGAGCACAGACGCTCCCGCGCAAGCCCAGGCTTGCGGAGCGAGGACCCCGTCCGGCCCCCGCCGATGAGGACGCAGCTCGCGGGCCCGAGGGGAGGGGCGCGCCTTCCCACCTCGGCCGGACAGCGCCGCGCACCCACCTTCCCAGGCTCCATCGCTCCTCGCAGGCCCGGGATGCCGCGGTGTCCTCGGCTCCGGCCAGGTGCGGGATACGCAGGAGACGAACCCGCCGGCGCCCGGCGACCCCGCCAGCGCCAGCTCCCCCTCAGCCTAGCCGGGCCTGCCGGGCCTCCACTCCAGCGGTCTGGCGTCTGGACTCCTAGCAACCGGCAGACAGAAGCAGTCGAGCGCCGAGCGGTCGTTACCCGGCATGCCTCAAGGCCGTCCCCACTACGCCTGCGCTTAACCGACTCGTGGCAACCCGCAGGTGGGAACAGTGGAGCAGCGAGCGGTCGTCACTCAGCATGCCCCGCGGCTGTCCCCAGTACGCCTGCGCGTCCCCGACTCCTAGCAACCTGCAGGCAAGAGCAGTGGAACGCCAAGCGGTCGTTACCCGGCATGCCCCGCGGCCATTCCCAGTACGCCTGCGCGTCCCCGACTCCTAGCAACCTGAAGACAGAAGCAGTGGCGCGCCGAGCGGTAGCTGGTCATTTCACTGAGCTGTATCATGGCTGAACAGGTGCTATGTGTTCCAATCTCGCCCCGGTGCCTCCCTCCGAGAAGGAAGAGAGGGAGCGATGATAACGAAAAGAGCTTTAAATTTGAATAAGGCTTTTCCCCTTACGAATCATATCCCTGTATACTGTCTTCTGATGAAAACCACCGAATGATAGGGAAGTATTTGGAAAGTAGCTATTGAGAGTATTATACCACACGGGACAAGAGAAGAGGAACATTCATACAAATATTCTCCAGCTCAGAGTTATTGTATTTAGAGCTTCAAACGTAGCCAATAGTAGCAAGAGTCCGGGCGCAAGCGACTCTTGGCGGTCCCGCCTTGGCTTCGGGTGCGGACGTCAGGTGGAGACCCTGCTCGTGTCCGCCAGGTACAGCCCCAGCTCTTGGGTTACGAGTGCCTTGGTGATGTCTTAACAGCTGAGCTTTTGATGTCACGGTCTTTCTGCAGTTGGAGATTTACTTTGCACGCACTGTTATAGGCCAGCTTACAATTTATGAATATACTTGCTCAAGAGAAAAAGGCCACTAGCCCAGCTCCTTGCCTTAAAGAATTAACAGATGGGATAAGCCTTTCATTTTGCTTGTGGTCTATTACCATCTTCATTTCCATTCATGGGCACATTTAAAAGAAAAAAGTCAGGAAGCATAATTTTGGTGACAACTGTGATTTACTGAGCATCTGTGCCAAGCAAGGTATCAGTCTTAGCTCTAGCCATCCGGCAATTCGCCTCACATAGCATCCTGTGTCAGTTTTTCAGCCACAAACAGAAAGAACAGTTAGCTTGGCTAAGGCCACTCACTGAAGCAATGATGCTAGCGCACCTTCTCTTAAACACTATGACACATTATGTCAGCTGAGAAAACAACTGACCCTGGAAAGCATCACATTCTTCGATGAATGTGAGATTGAATATGAAATAAAGCCACCATTCACAATATCACAAAAAGTTACACATGCTGCAGGAATGAGAGCCTCTCTACCTGACCTGGAATTACACATGCCTGACACTGTCACTGAAAAGTGCTTGGATTGAGGAGGACCACTGACAAGGGGAGAGGGAACCCTCTACTCAGGTCCCCAGTTCCATGGGTCTCATGGGACTTGAAATCCACAAAGAAAAGCATTTCACAAAAAAAAAAAAAAAAAGGAAACTCACAAGTTGGAAGGCCAGCAAAGATGTATTACGCAATGCAAGGGAAAATAGGGAAAAAGGAGCACCTCCTGACAGCTTGAGGTGGGAGTGAAGGAGCTCAAAATGGCTGCCTTGTCCTGGGAGTATTTATACCCTCTAAACTAAGCTGGGGATCCAGGTTAAACTTTTCCTAGACAAGTGGCCACATCACCTGAAAGCCTTCAATCATTTTGTAACTTCTCAAGCATGAAGACAATGAGTTTAGGGTGGGTTTATTTAAAGGGTGAACTCTCCAGGGTTCCTGAAGTCCCAAGTGGAAATCCCCATGCTGTCTAAGTAACCTCTGACATATCGAAAAGCGTAGCTGCCTGAGACCAAAAGGACACTTCCCCTTATCGCTTCCTGACTGCTTGCAAGGTGCAGCTGTCTGAAATCACAAGGACACTTCCCTTTATTGCTCCCTGGCTGCCTACCCCATAAAAGCTCCTCACCCCTAGCCCCCGGCGCGGCTTGCATCTCAGCTTTCAGGACACCCCTCACCACTGCAAAATAAAGCGTGATCTGGTCTGTAGAGGTCTCCGTATCTTTTTCTTCTCTGCATTCTCTTTTCTAACATTTGGTGCCAAAACCCAGGACCCCCATTCAGGCTCCCTCACCCCAGACCTTCTCTAATGATCCTCCTCTGGATTCAGACACACATGACCCTGCAGATGAACCTCCCCCATACCAGGCCACCCCAACTGTACCCCTCTTTGCCTCCCTCTCCCTCACAGACCTCCTCCCCATCCTTGCCCCCCACCATTCCCTCCCAGCCCATCAAGCCTAGACCTTACCCCAGTCCCATGCCTTCCCCTCCTCTTACCCAGTCTCACACCCAGGCAGCTCACATGTTCCCACTCCATGAGGTGGCAGGGGCTGAGAGCACCGTTCAAGTTCATGTTCCCTTTTCTTTGAGTGACATGTCTCAGAAAATCATCTGGGATGTTTCTCTGAAAATCCCACCAGATTCCACAAGGAGTTTCTCCACATAACTCAGGCTTATCACTTAACCTGGGCTGACCTGTATTATATTCTCGCTTCCACCCTATCCCTGGATGAGTGCAACCAATTTTGTCAATCTGCCCAGGAACATGCCGATCAGCTACATGGACAAAATCCTGGCCTCCACCTGGTAGCTCACAACGCTATTCCCTCTGCTGAGGGACATACCAACCTGGGGATGCTGGCACAATTCATATTAACCATATGATCTCTTGTGTCCTTGAGGGGATGAAAAATAATGCCCACACCCAAGTTAACTGTGACAAAATAAGAGCGGTCACCCAGGGACCAGAGGAGAATCCAGCTCTCTTCCTAGCTCATCTCATGGATGCCATCACTAAATACACCAATCTAGACCTTAATTCCCCGGCTCTCGCTCTTTTTCTCCATGGGCCAGTCAGCCCCAGATATTTGAAAAAAGCTAAGGCAATTAGAACAGGGACCCAAGACCCCTCGACAAGAATTTCTAAATGTGGCATTTCAAGTGTTCAATAATAGAGATGAAGAACATAAAAAAGAAAACAAAAAATACCTCAAAGTTAAATACCAACTTCCGGCCTCAGCTCTACAGCCTCATGTGCACCCACAAAAAAAAAAATGGTCTCAAGCCCTATCCCTGGCCATCACTCCACCAGCATGCCTCCAGAAAGTGCTTCCTGTGTGGCAACCCGGGACACTGGCCAAGGCCTGCCCAAACCCTAGACTTCCCTCTAAGCCATGCCCTTCCTGTGGCCAGTGCGGACACTGAAAAATGGATTGCCCCCAGGGTTGGACCCCCCGGCCCTCGGTGCTCCCTACTGCCCCAGAAATCCCATATCATCAGTTGTTGGAATGAGGAAGCCCAGGCCCCTTAGCCCCTCCAACAAACATTGTGGAGTCCAGGGAGCCCAGTGTAATGGGTACAGTGGAAGGCCAACAGATAACCTTTGTGGTTGACACTGGAGCTACCCTCTCCTTCCTCACCTCTTGGTCAGGACCCTCAGAACAAAGCCACACATCTGTAATGGGAATCTCAGGGACCAATGGGAATATCGGGGACCAACAGCTTTCCCTAGCAGACAGAAAAGGTCCTCTGTTCTTTTGGCTAGGTTACTATAATCCATTCTTTTCTCATAGTGCTTCAATGTCCGATCCCTCTGTTGGAACAAGACATACTCCACAAACTAGGAGCCTCTCCTTCATATCTCTCCACTTAACTCAACCACCATTTTTCTCCTCCAACAAATCCCAGCCACCCCTCCACTCCTAAAGCCTCTGGATTTCCCCTCTCCTCTTATTCCTGAACTTCCTCATATTGACTCCCGGGTCTGGGACACCCAACACCCTCCAGTAGCACATCACCACAAACCTCTCCCATAACTCTTAAGAACCCCACAATCTTTGTTACAATACCTCAATATCCACTATAGCCCTCTAAACTACTTGGACTTAAATATCATTTCCCAGCTCCTACAAGCCCAGTTACTTATTCCCACCTGCTTACCTCATAATACCCCTATCTTGGGAGTCAAAAAACCCAATGGTGATTACCAATTAGTACAAGATCTCAGAAAGGTTAATGAAGCTATCTTACCCACCTATCCAGTGGTTCCCAAACCCTATACCCTTCTTTCTACTATTCCTGCAACTACCCAGTTCTTCATAGTATTAGATCTCAAGGATGCCTTCTTTACTATCCCATTACACCCTACATCCCAACCTTTGTTCACCTTCTCCTAGACAGATCCTGACTCCCTTCTCTCCCAATAGCTAACAGCCCCAGGGATTCCAGGACAGCTCCCACCATTTTGGCCAGGCTTTACAACATGACCTCCAGTCTTTAGATTTACACCCCAGTAAGCTCATCCAGTATGTGGATGACCCTCTCCTATGTAGTCCTACCTGACAACTTTGCCTAACACACACCATCTCTCTCCTGAACACTCTTGCTGGGTGGGGATACAGGGTATCAAAACAAAACACCCAATTAGTCTCCTCTTCTGTCACCTACCTTGGTCTTTCTCACTCTCCCAGCCACCACTCCATTGCCCCCAAGAGGATACAAAACCTATTACAAATTCCCTTACCATCCACCAAGAGGGAACTCTTATTCCTCCTAGGTCTTTTTAACTACTTCTGGATATGGATTCCTAACTTCTCCTGGTGGCCCAACCTCTGCATGAAGCCACCAAAGGGCCCCTAGATGAACCCGTCCTCACCCCCTCCTCTCTAGCACCCAATCTAATCAGTTGCAAAAAAATCACTTAGCCAAGCCTCATCCTTCCATTTACCCAACCCCTCCAAACCCTTCTACCTGTTTATTCACTCTAGCAAGGGCCATGTCTTAGGCATCTTATGCCAAAAGGCAGGCAACACCCATCACCCTTTTGCTTACCTCTCAAAGCAGCTAGATCCAGTGTTCAGGGGATGGCCTCTTTGCCTCCATATTCTAGCTGCTGTCACAA